GTATATGTATATGTATATATATATATATATATATATATATATATATATATGTGTAAATATTTAATTTAAATGCTATAAATGTATGTATGTGTGTGTTTTTTCAGGGTGAGGTGGAGTTTGCCCGGATCATGATGCTGGTTGATCCAAACACTTCAGGTGTTGTGTCATTCCAGTCTTTCATTGACTTCATGACAAGAGAGACAGCGGACACAGACACAGCTGAACAGGTCATTGCTTCCTTCAGGATCCTCGCTGCAGACAAGGTGTGTGTGTGTGTGTTGTTTAACTTTACTTTATCGATTTTCTTCAGAAAAGTCTTGCCTGAAAAATTATTTCCATATTCCTTATCTGTTGTTTATTGTGTCTTCTGCAGCCATATATTTTGGCAGATGAGTTGAGGCGAGAGCTTCCTCCAGACCAGGCAGAGCACTGCATCATAACTTTACTTTATCGATTTTCTTCAGAAAAGTCTTGCCTGAAAAATTATTTCCATATTCCTTATCTGTTGTTTATTGTGTCTTCTGCAGCCATATATTTTGGCAGATGAGTTGAGGCGAGAACTTCCTCCAGACCAGGCAGAGCACTGCATCAGCAGGATGCCCCCATACACCGGCCCCGGGGCCCTGCCTGGAGCCCTGGACTACACTGCCTTCTCCACGGCCCTCTACGGAGAGAGTGACCTTTAACTCTCTCAACATCTCTGACCTTTTTCAATCCCATCACACTTGTAAACCAAGTAAATTCTTTATTCATCAGCCTCACGAAATTGAGACATGGCAAATAAACAAAATGAGCACAACTTCAGTTTTTTAGTCTCAGTTGATGTATGTTGCTAGATGATTGATATGAAATGTTTAAGTCAATACACATGTAATGCAGTCTGGAAATGAAAAGAATGCAATTAAGAAAGTTAAATTTTTTTTATCTGTAACAGTCCAAAGTAGTTGTGAATTTTAGATTCACTTTCTCATGAATTGTTGAATCCATGGCATGGGACACTATTTTACTGTCTTTCATGTAGGCTATGTATAATAGAGAAAATTTACAAAGACTTTGTCACTTGAATTACAACCAAATCAGTAGTTAAGTTGCACTAAATTCAGAATTCAGTACTTTTAAGTACATTATAGGTTTTTTTTGCATTTTACTCTGATCTTTTCCAATCGCACTTTTCCAGAATGAAATCTATTTTGTGTGGTAGTGTTAAACGCACAGTATGTAAGATTTTGCACATTTGAATTATCTCCAAATGAGAAAGATTCACCTAACCATTGTGCTTTTCTTGTTTTTCCTCTGGCACTGTAGTGTCCCTGGTTAAAAAAGCAACATGAATAGTAGCTCAACTCAATTCTCCACAACATAATCACCTAAAAACCTAACAGTGCATAATTTTATATACAGTAACAGTTTAGATAAGGTAGGAAGAGGTGACTTTGTCATTCTCACTAGTGAGTCAGATAATTAAGAGCACCATTGGCTGATTTGGTTGTACATGACATTTTGAATATTGCGAATGCTTGGAACATTTTCTTAAGTTTGGTGATTACATGAAGTATCAATCTATGTACTACTACAGGGCTTGTCACATAAAGAAAGCAAAAAACAGAAATTATTATGATATAATACTAAATTTACAGTTGTGGGTAAAAGTATGTGAACGACAGACAAACACCGCCTGCTTAACACACCATTGTCTGTATTAAACACAGCATGCAAACCATTCACAGTGAAGAGTGAAAAAGTATGTGAATCCCAGAATATCAATCAAGCTTTCACGAATACAACAAATTTCTCACTAAAAAGTCACACTAGTTCAGTGTACAATGACAGTGCATTTGAGTGATTTTTGGTCAATTTGTTAACCTATCAAAATAGTTTTAAGGGGAGACACTGCAGGCAAAAACACTGTTTTTTCATGCACCTGTCAAGTTTGAGATTTTGGGCTTTTTGGTTTTTCATAAAGTGTTTTTTCAGACTAGTGGAAAGAAAACATCCAAAAGACACTGTTAAGTGTTTATTTTATAGCACTTTACCTATTTGTGTCAATAGATTTAAATTACAATACATATTTTTAAAGGCCGTTTTCTCAAAATGAGTTTTTTCTCCTACACTGAGCCATAAATCTCCACTTCAGTAGCACTTACACACACCAAACTTTACATTTTTATTCCTGTCTATATCCTGACGTTTTTTTACAGAGGGATTTGTTCATATATAATTTGCTTGATTATATACAAAATTTTATTTCCCCCAAAATTGTGAAAATATAGTGTTTTCTGTCCATTCTAAGCATTTTCTGAAGTATGGAGTGACAAAAATGAGATACCCAAAATTCCCTCTGTAAAAATGTTTGACTCTAATATGTCAAAACAATTAAATGAGAATTTTGAAACTGACATCATCCAGTGTTTAGATTTTTCTATAGACATTTATGCAAATTAGCGCATATTTAATTAAACAATGGCTCATTTGTATATTTAAACCTAACATTTTAGAAAACTTGTAATAAATTTTTTTTTGCAATTATCACCGTAATCAATCAGCTGGGTAAGTAAGGCGATAACTATTAGTTATTTTTTTTACCCTATTCACCTGCAGTGTCTCGCCGTGTCAATAGATTTAAATTACAATACATATTTTTAAAGGCCGTTTTCTCAAAATGAGTTTTTTCTCCTACACTGAGCCATAAATCTCCACTTCAGTAGCACTTACACACACCAAACTTTACATTTTTATTCCTGTCTATATCCTGAAGGTTTTTACAGAGGGATTTGTTCATATATAATTTGCTTGATTATATACAAAATTTTATTTCCCCCAAAATTGTGAAAATATAGTGTTTTCTGTCCATTCTAAGCATTTTCTGAAGTATGGAGTGACAAAAATGAGATACCCAAAATTCCCTCTGTAAAAATGTTTGACTCTAATATGTCAAAACAATTAAATGAGAATTTTGAAACTGACATCATCCAGTGTTTAGATTTTTCTATAGACATTTATGCAAATTAGCGCATATTTAATTAAACAATGGCTCATTTGTATATTTAAACCTAACATTTTAGAAAACTTGTAATAAATTTTTTTTTGCAATTATCACCGTAATCAATCAGCTGGGTAAGTAAGGCGATAACTATTAGTTATTTTTTTTACCCTATTCACCTGCAGTGTCTCGCCATGAAAAAAGGTGATTTGTGAATGTCTGCTGTTGAATTCTATAAACAAGAAAGCCAAATGTGTGTTTTACAGTGACATAAATGAAATAAACCTCATGAAAAGGCCAAGTCTCTGCTTTTTTAATTTAATGTTTTATTGAAGTGTAATTAACATACCGTAGACCTAAAATATGTATGCATAATAGAGTATTTTATATAATATAGCATGTTTTACTTTTATAAAATACAAGTTTTTAGTAGTTTTTACTTGTATAATATATTGAAAGTAAATTCTTTTTTTCTCTGCTTTTCTTTTCTTTTTCCTTGCTTGCTTGCTTTCTCCACTGTAACTTACCAAATATGGAAAAGCCCTTTCTTTCCCACTTTACCGTTATCAGATCTCAGCAGCATTATCTCATGATGGGTGGTATCGTGGTCTCTCTGTTCTGGGATGAGTTCAGCACCTGCGGCTGGGTGAGTGGAGCTCTTCAGTCTTCTGGTTCTTACACACGGGTCCCTCAACAAGACCAGATCCAAAGTCCAGCAACATAGTCACTGAACATGGATATAGGAGAAGCGGAAGATGAAATACAGTTTCTGCGAACTGTAAGTAAAATGGACTGCATTAAAATACAAATGTGAATGCAATGAATGATATCTTGACTATTTCTTTATGCTGAACTGCATTAACTTCAGACAGAAAAGGGCTGATTATTAAACTGCAATTAGATTTGTTATTAGATTGATGTAATGAGATTCTTGGACATAAATATTAGATGCTAACAGATGGGTTACAAAAAAATATAAGTGAAACATTTTTGGCCATGCATATGGATGCACAGTCCAGCATATGTGAAATTTAGATCTGTACCACAGACATTAACAGTGTTATTTAGTAATTTCAAACTGTGAGAAATTGCTCATACTGTAACTGTGTATGTATCATTAATTATTGGATCTATGGGTTTATATATGTGGTTTTATATGTATTTACAGTGTTTGAATTCACATTTGAGAGCGTATGACCCATATCACTGGTGTCTATTTTTACTTTGTGTTATCAGTAACAGAGGAACTGGAGAGTCTGTTGAATGTGTGAGCTATTCACTCTCAGCTCCATATCTCTAAAACAGAGATAAATGGGATACTGTGCTCTCTCTTTCTCACACACATACAGTACACACTTCCACTGATTCACTGTATGTATTTTAGCACATGCGTTTGTAACAGTATCATGCTGGAAATCATTAATTGTTTGACGTTGTGTTAAAGCTAGGCTTTAAAAGTGACATGAATGGTTGAATATGTGTGGTTGTGTCTGTGAGACCCACTGGTCAGTGAAACTCATATGACAAGCTGGAGGTGTTGGAATTCTCTATTCACTGACTGATAAGTCAGTCCTAAGTATTCAGTCCTTATAAGGCTACACTAATGACACAGAAGCACTTCTATTGTCCACACTGTAAGAGAAGCAATTACACGTTATGGGGCTTTTCAAATCACAAATATATATAAAAAAATATTGCATTATTTAGTCAATGAATTAATTACATTAAAACACGGTAGACCAACAGTCAAAACAATTTAATATTATTTTACTTTTTTTGTTCATTGTTGCTATCATTGAGGTTTGCGTGTTTAGTTTTGAGGTGTATGTGCTTTTATACAAACCTTTTGAATGTAATGCCTTTGCACCATGTTACATTTTATTGCATACTTGCTAATTTTGCCTTGACAGTGATTTATTGGCTGAATATGATATTTTACATTTAACAAATGAACATTAGCAAAGTAGTGTTACTAAGGTCAATTATCAAATCTCAATGTGTCATATTGCCTTGATTTTTTTCTAATTTCCTTTTTACAATTTGACGTTTATTTCGCCCTATTTATTTATAGATTCTATTATATAGAGTTTATATAAAATATAATACAGTGGTAGAGCTTTTCATTTTCCATTTGTTCCATTTGGTGCTGTGGAATTCCTACAGGTGCCATAATATGTCATTATAAGCATTCTTCCATTAAAAACCTTAAGTTGAATTTATAATGTGTTTTTTTTTTATCAGATCTGATAGTAGTCCATATTCTTATTTCTGGTCCCAGTTGTAATGAGTTCAGACTTGCTGTAGTTGCGGTCTGTAATGAGAATGTGTTTTTCAGAGGGATGAGCTGGTTTTGAGGTGTTGCTCATCAGGCCCTCATCAACAGAAACTGTGTTTAGCTGCAGAAGGTTTCGGTGACCGGCTGTGTTATCTTGAGTCCACCTCCAACTCAAAGGTGAGATGCGCATTTGTTTAATAACATTTTTAAACCAAGTTACTATTCTGTGTGTAAGAACAGTCTACCATGTGCATTATCAAACTTCTGAAAAACCTTTCTTCTTACTTACAGAATGTTCCCGCAGACCTTTCTGTGTGTGTGTTTGTGCTTGACCAGTGTCTGTCTGTCCGAGCGCTGCAGGAGATGCTGGCCAACCATGAAGATCAGTATGCAGGGGTGGGTAATGTAGTCAAAGGTGTACGTATTCATGTTGTAAACAAATGATCAAATTTGTGCCGAACACTGTAAAATATCACAGAGTGGTTTCGTTTCAGTCACGTGAGGCAGCTGGGCGTCGTACTCTGCTCTATGGCCAGGCGGTTCTCTTTCGACATGTCTACAGCGACATGGCAAGACCAGTCTTGATTTTACCTTGTTATTGCCATGCTGGGACTATGAGGTTTTAACTTTAAACCTCTTCTGTCTTGTTTTAGTATCTCTGCTGTCTGTCCACATCAGGCCTCTCCTCTGACAAGCTGGCTTTTGATGTTGGTTTGCAGGAGGACACAAAGGGTAAGTTCATATTCTCCCCCTGTATAATGTGTAATATGCGTGTGAATGTTTTAATCTTCTGCTATGAATACATGTTTGATAAAGACTAGGGCTGCCATATTATTGGTGTCATGATTGTTGTTTGTATGGTTTTAGGTGAGGTGTGTTGGTGGACGGTTCACCCTGCCTCTAAACAGAGGTCCGAGGGTGAGAAAGTCAGAGTGGGTGATGATCTAATCTTAGTTAGTGTTTCCTCTGAGAGATACCTAGTGAGTAAATCCATTCGTTTGTTACCTGGTTATCTATTTATATATCTGTATACAGGTATTTTTATGCAGTGTGACAACCTGTCTCTCTTTCTAGCATGTGTCGTGGAGTAACGGTGAAGGTAATGACAACGGCATTGGCCGGGTGGATGCTGCTTTCCAGCAGACATTGTGGAGTGTGGCTCTTGTTTCTACTCAGACTGCAGAGACGCAGGGTAGATGACCAATCACACGTTATCAATCATTTAAACATTTGTTTAGTGCCTGCAGATTTTACTGACTGATTTTCATGCTTTGTGACTAAATACATTGGCTAAACAAATTATACAGTTTTTGTGACCATATGATAAAACCATATGACCATATGTTTTTAGATATATTTCAAAATGGACAAACCAAAAATTCTAGATACAAATATATATTTGAAATTTATATAGACAATTAATTTTTTTTCCCCCACAGTGTATATATTTCTATGCATTATATATATATGGTTGCATTGTAAAACATAAAAAACAGTTATAGTTACTTTTGTAATATTTTATAATGTAATATTTTTGCTGGAGGTTTGTATAAAATTTGTGTCAGTTTTTCATGTGTTCAATTTTGACCTGTAGGTCATGTGAGAGGAGGGGATACTGTGCGTCTGCTACATGGACACACAGATGAATGT